GAGGAGGAGGAGGAGGAGGAGGCGGATGAGGCGGATGAGGAGGAAGAGGCGGAGGAGGAGGAGGAGGGAAGGATGAGTAGGAGGAGGCGGAAGAGGAGGCAGGGGAGGAAGAAGAGGAGGATGCTGATGATGACGAGGAGGAGGATGAGGAGGAGGGGGGAGGAGGAGGAATAGGAGGAGGAGGAGAAGGAGGGATGGAGGAGGGAGAAGGGGGGGGGCAATGATGATGCTGCTGATGATGATGACGATGATGCTGATGATGATGCTGATACTGATGATGATGACGATGCTGATGCTGATGATGCTGCTGATGATGATGCTGATGATGCTGATGATGCTGCGGATGATGTCGATGATGATGCTGATGCTGATGCTAATGATGCTGATGCTGATGAGGATGCTGCTGTTGCTGATGATGACGATGGTGATGCTGATGCTGACGATTATGGTGATGCTGATGCTGATGATGTTGTTGATGATGATGCCGATGGTGATGACGATGTTGATGATGCTACTGATGCTGATGGTGATGGTGATGATGATGATGATGATGCTGATGCTGATCATGGCGATGATGCTGATACCGATGCTGATGCTGCTGATGCTGCTGCTGATGATGATGACCATCATGCTGCTACTAATGATGATGATGATGCTGATACTGATGGTGCTACTGCTGATGATGGTAAGGATGACGATGATGATGATGATGCTGACGATGTTGATGTTGATGCTGATGCGGATGATGCTGCTGATGATGATGATGCTGATGATGACGATGCTGATGATGGTGATGGTGGTGGTGGTGGTGACGATGCTGGTGATGACGTTGATGATGATGATGCTGTTGCTGCAGATGCTGATGATGATGATGCTGATGATAATGATGATGCTGATGCTGATGTTGATGATGATGCTGATGCTGGTGATGATGATGATGATGAGGATGATGAGGATGATGGATGATGATGCTGATGCTGATGTTGATGATGCCGATGATGATGATGATGATGATGATGATGATGATGATGATGGTGATGATGATGATGATGATGATGATGCTGATGATGATGATGATGATGGTGGTGGTGATCATTATGATGCTGCTGATGCTGATGATGACGATGATGATGATGCTGCTGATGCTGATGATGACGACGACGACGATGATGATCATGATGATGATGATGATGATGATGATGATGATGATGATGATGATGATGATGATGATGATGATGATGATGATGATGATGCTGCTGCTGCTGATGCTGATGCTGATGCTGATGCTGATGCTGATGCTGATGCTACTGATGATGCTGCTGATGATGATGATGATGATGATGATGATGCTGCTGCTGCTGATGATTCTGATGATGGAGGTGATGGTGAGGAGGAGGAGGGGGAGGAGGAGGCGGCGGAGGAGGAGGATGAGGAGGCGGAGGCGGAGGCGGAGGCGAAGGCGAAGGCGGAGGATGAGGAGGAGGAGGAGAGGAGGAGGAGAGGAGGAGGAGGAGGAGGAGGAGGAGGCGGGGCGGGGGGGAGGCGGAGGAGGCGGGGGCGGAGGCGGATGGCGTAGGCGGAGGGAGGCGGAGGAGGCGAAGGCGGAGGAGGGGGAGGCGAGGAGGAGGAGGAGGAGAGGAAGGGAGGAGGAAGGAGGAGGGAGGAGGAGGAGGAGAGGAGGAGGAGAGGGAGGAAGGAGGAGGAAGGAGGAGGAGGAGGAGGAGGAGGAGGAGGAGGCGGGGCGGAGGCGGAGGCGGAGCGGAGGCGGGGCGGAGCAGGAGGGGGAGGAGAGAGGAGGAGTAGGAGAGGAGGAGGAGGAGGAGGAGGAAGAGGAGGAGGAACAGGAGGAAGAGGGTACCCACACGCGTCCGCCACACCCACTACAGCGTTTCGTGGCCCCACAAGGAGTTCCACCGAAGGCCCCAGTGAGCGTGCCCGCCTGCGTCCGCCACACCCAGTACTGCGTTTCGTGGCCCCATAGGGAGTTCCACCGAATGCTCCTGCGGGGGTGCCCCACACCCACTTCGGCGCACCACTCATACGTTTCGTGGCCCTATAGGGAACCCCACCTAAGGCCCCAGCGAGCGCGGCCACCTGCGTCTGCCCGGCCCATTTCGGCACACCCCTCACACGTGTCGTGCCCCCACAGGGCGCTCCACCGAAGGCCCCAGTGGCGACGTTCGCATGCGTCCGACCGAATTCATGTCGGCACACCCCTCGCACGCTTCGTGGCCCAATCGGGAGCTCCATCGAAGGCCCGAGCCGGCGACGTTCGCACGCGCCCCCCCCCCCGCCACCCATGCCGGCGCACCCCTCACACGCTTCGTGGCCCATGGGGAGCTCCACCGAAATTTAACATACGTCCCACCCCATTCGTCCCCCCCCCTCCCTGCCCGCACTGCCCCGTGCCTCGTTCTTCCTTTGGCGCGCTGCCTATGAGAGCATAGGGTATACCGCGTGCGCTGTTCGGGGTTTGTGTGCCCCCCTCCTTCGTCTCATG